TCTTAAGCTTTCTTTATTACTAACATTTCAGGAAGAATCACAATGCCTTTTTTGCTGTTGTCTTAAGTTATTCTTCAGCCCTGGTCTTCAAGACCCACTGTCCTGAAATCTTCAGATGCTCCTCTGCTCCAGCACACCTGAATATAAGGATGGCTTTACCTCCTCAGCAGCCATTAATGGCTGCATAGGCCCTTTAACTGAGTAGTATTTTATACTGACATTGTTCTGATGATCTCAGATGGTAACGTGTTATGAAAAACAAGAAACCTCTAAGGAGCAGTTTTTTATGTCATGTGTATTTCAAGAAAAGAACAATGTTTCTACTGTGAGACATGGAGGAGCCTCTGCTATGTTCTGGGCTTGTTTTGCATCTTTCTGCTTTGCTGGCAAAGAGTGTCTTGAATCTCTGTAGGGTACAAGCAAATCTTAAATCTCTAAAGGCCTTTTATAGAGAAATGTGCTGCTCAGTGTCAGAAAGCTTGATCTCATTCGCAGGACGTGGGTCTTGCAACAGGTTAATGACCCAAACTACACAACTAAAAACACCAAAGATTGACCAAGAGGAAAACATTGGACTCTTCTGGCTACCAAGAATTTTGTCCACAAGTATAAAATACTCTTCTCTACTTCAATTGAACGTTTCACTTTAAGCATGCTTTTCTCAACCAGATTAATTTGAAACTCTTAAAATTTTAAAAGTAACAAGTCTATTCATACCTTTAAACAAACTTGTTAATACATAGCAAACAGCCTGCCCTTTCTCAAGTTATTGATATTTTTAGAAAATAATGTGCAAGTAGCCAACTATTAATGTCTCTGCTGGTTAGAAGAAACAAATTATAGCTTTGAAAGGAGCCATTTTGGAAGGAAAGCCATTTAGGTAACTACTGAGACACTGCAGGAGAAAAGTATCCAAAGGGCTGCTGAAAAATTTAATCCAAGAGATGCCTTTTGAGTACCAGAGAGGTTGCGCAAACAAGTGATATGAAAGGAGCAAGGCCTTTTTCATTTGTTGTGAGACTCTACAGTAGCCTCAGAGCCATTGCAGATATAAACTTCACTTTGTTTTCATACCGCCACACTAACAATGGTTTTAATCAAAATTTGTAATAAGATAATATCATTAAATTAAAGGCCTCAGTATGCAAGGTTTTCCCTCATTTGGTCTAAGCACTAAATATTCAGTAATGCCATATGTGTTTGTGAAATAACTGCCACTGAAAATACAGTAATTGAAAAGCTGCAATCAAGAAGAAAAAAGAAGCGTGGGTTATGACAATAATGAAAACTGATTGTAGGGTATTGCTAATAGGCAGTGAAAACATTTAAAGTTTGTATGTATTCAAACTAACACACAAAAAGACTGTCATTGTTATAATACCGGGTAATTTTCAAATTTATATCAGATTTAGGACATTAAGAATGAATAAATTTAAGTTAAGCTATTTTGCACAAAAAAAACAAAAACACGTTTTACTCATTGATATCAAAGCTTGTAAGGGCATAATACAAAACTTTTAGCTGTAATGATGTGGAAACTATACAAAGTATCTCAGAGATGCTAAAAACAATTAACAGCACACGTTACAATTTTTATATATAAAAGGTTTTAAAAAATATTTAGCATCTTCCTTCCTCTTTTTCCATTCTCATTTTCTTCTCATAGCTTAAGTTTGATTTTAAAATGGTGAGCATTCACTTCCATTCCTGCATTGTCGATCAGACTCTAGGTTCAACCACATTAGCACAGCATATCTTAGACAGATTAATCAAATAGTCAAATAATGAACTGTCAGAATATAATAAGCTCTTTATGTTTTTTTTTTAGGTATATATTATTTTTCTCTTATTTACATATTCTGTTTGACTTTTGACATGCATGTTTGGTGAATGCATGGACTGAAAAGCCAACTCAAGTTGTCCACTGAAACTAGAGAACTGTTTTATTATAAATCTTAGATGAAACAATTGGTAAAGAGTTTCACATTAAACTGTATGGATTTGCTGTGCAATACTAAAAATAAGCTTACAGGTCTTATTTCATTATAAATAGCAGATCCCGCATATTATTTGAGACTATTTCAATTAAATTCAATGCAATAAAAAAACTTGATTAATTTATTGATTGACTTTATTGAAATGAAATGTTCTCTTGACTCATAAGCCATGTTTCCAATCACCTTAAAATAAAATTTTTAAGCGAACTTTCAAATCTTCGACAAAAAGGAAATGCAAATTTGCTGTTTCTATTTGGCTTGAAGCAAATTAATAAAGCACCTCAAAGCATCCCATGTCGTCATTCATATTAGTTCCTTACGCATTGCTGTTGAGAACAGGATGTAGAGGCTGTGATCTAGCACTGACTATAGATCAGTAATGGACGAAAGTTTTAATAAATATGTTGCTATCAGGGAAGTTGTTCTTATATTAAAGGCATAGTGGAGGATTTTCGCAAATTGTTAAAAAAAACCCACCCTCTCCAATTAAACTACTAATGCAAAACCCTGTATCTGCTCCAGAGAGGAAACGCCTATTAAACGAGTGTGAGAGCATGCACAAGCTCATTTCTCCTCATGCACGCTCTGTTTAGAAGTTACTGTTTGCATTCTCATACAAGCTTACTTTCCAAAAGAAGTGGAAATTTTCCACTATGTGAGACTCACCACATATAAGTGAAAATGGGGATGAGCACGTAGGACGTCCTTACATGCACATATCACCAGAATGATGATGACAAGTAGGAGGACCACTTATTTTGATGATCCACCACGAAGATAGGCTGAAAATCCAGGAACTCCGGGAACTTTGGCAGCTCGGTTCTGCTGCACTTTAATCGACCAAAATCCCGAACGATTTTGAAATTCCCCATACATTAAATTTATGTACATACAGGCTCATATAGGATGGTTCTACGGGCATGTGTACAAAACTATTTCAGACATGAACCATAAGGAATGAAATAGTAAGAACTAAGAGGGCTGTGAGAGCAAAATTAAAAAATATCCTGCAGAAAAAGAGAGTTGTCTCAAGGACTTGGAGACATTTATTAATCCACAAATTAAAAAGAAAAAATCCAATTGAAGTTCTGATGAAAAAAGTTGAAGGTAAATTTATAAGGATCTAAGTAATAAATAAATTCTTGCTTTCTGTAACTAAATATTCACCAAAAAACAAAACAAACAAAAAAAAAAAAAAAATGTGGCATTTAATCATTTAAACTTTGGATAAACTTTGGATATAAAGTTACCTGATTGTTACTGTTTCAAGATACCAGAGGCTTGGCTTAAGGAAAGGCCTGTCATCATTTTAGTTTTTTTGTCAAAATTCTTTTAATATGTCACATTTTTACCATTTTCACCAAATATGTATCATAACTGTTTTCCAATCTTGTTTAGGCCACTGTGTAGTGTTGGAAAGGTGGCTTAAGCCATTTTTTGAAACTTGTATTCAGAAGAGCGGTATGGTTGTAGAAATGTACCAGATCTTTACCCTTGCCAAAATGATGCAGTGAGAATAAAGGAGTCGGTTTCCTAGTCTCCTAAGTTTTATGGGAGGGTATTTGGAGCAGTAGGTTTATCTGGTACCTACATTACCACATGAAGCTTTGATTCTGTCCGTTGTGTCCCTTGTTTTGTAAGATTTTGTACAGCATAGTTGTAGAGAAAGTTGTATATGGCTTAAGAATCTGAAGGTCCTGTTTGTTTTCCTTTTTGCAGGTTCTATTGGAATAGAAAAATAGAAAATCCCTTTATCATCCCACAATGGGGAAATTCTGATGTTTACAGCAGCAAAATGATTATAGAAAAAAATGGTCACACAAATGTGGACCTTAGAAAAGTGTATAATAACATAATAGTAATGAGTTAAATAAAAAACAATGCTGTACTTTAAAGTCTTTTAACAATATAAGTACTGTGCACCTGGAGAACAAATAACCAATATACAGCTATGGACATTTCTACAGTAATGGATATTTGAAAAATAGCAGCAACATCAGAGATGTGCAAAATGAGAGCAGCATCTTATTTAACTGACTAAGGTGGAAAAACTGTGCAATATCAGTATGAACATAACAAATTATTGAGGATGCAGGGAACAATAATGGTTATAAAGTCTCACAGCTGCTGGGAGGAAGGATCTGTGATAACTTTCCCTGGTGCATTTAGGGTGCAACAGTCTGTCACTGAAAGGAGCTCTCCAGTTTTGCAACAGCGTTATGCATGGGGTGGAAAATATTATCTAACAGAGATGTTATTAGGCTGTTAGGTTCTTCAGGTCACATTTTTCAGTTTGCACCTGTTAAGAAGGAAAGAACTAGAGGAATCAGCCCATCTGAAAAAATGAAATACTGGTGCAGAGATCCGTCAGTCAATGAAAACTCAGCATTGAGCACTGCCTATTAATTATTGAGCCTGCAGAGGGGATTTGGACATAACACTACTGAGATATTCTAGGTGGCTTTTTCTCTATATGCCTTGGAGTCTCATAAACAAGGCATATGCAAAAAGATTGGCAGACTATACTGTAAATCTATTTTCGATAAACTTGGAATTACCCAGAATGTGCTGGTGAGTCACTGGCGGTAACAGGTACAGAAGGAAACTATTATCCTAGGCCTTTTGATCTTGGACAAGAGTCCTCACTTTAAAAACATTTCATCTCCACATACATATCAAAACATATGAAAAATACCCAGCGCACAGAGAGTGGCAATCACTCATAATTTTGCATAACCTTGACCATAGTACAAAATTCTAGTTTTATACTTTTCTCCCAAGTTACACTTTATCATCTATGTCAGAACAAGTTATTAAGAGCACCGAATTGAATCTTTTTCCCCTTGTCCATAATTCAGAAGATAGAAGCTTATATGTTGTTTGATATGCCCAGAGAAATGACATGAATACATAAACAACGCTGATACACAACCCATAGTTATATAAAAACAAGTAACAGTTTATTGATCATATGGTAATATGATAATATTTTAGTAGTAAATTAAACCATAACACAGACAAACATACAGATGATAGAATTAATTAGGCTTCAGAGTTGAAGTAGTGCTTAAACTGCAACCTTTGGCACAATTAACAGCTAAAAAAAAAAGTTGCCACAAACACAGATCTACATTCATCATTACTCATATGCCTGTACATTATTTTTTCCTACGATCTTCCCTGGAGCGGCTCAAATAAGACTGGATTTCAGATACTGGTGGAGGTAATTTCCTGAAATGAAAATTTAATGATGGCAGTCTTCAGGAGGAGGGGAGCCGTGAATGACTCAAAAGGTCCGTAAATGAAATCCACACAGTTCAGCCCATGCTGAATTAAGCTAAAATACTGGAGACACAATTCTAAAATGAAATTAAATACATTTCAATTGGAATGAAAAAAATTACAATATCTAAATCTCTGCTTTTTTAACTATAAATACATGGGAATGTGCATCGTAGTAATAATATAAACACCCGTCTATTACCTATGAGGATAGATATAGCTTCTAAATTTCACTCACTATATTGATTCAAAATGTTTATGGAAGGCTCAATGGTGATAGAGTTTGCCTTATCTGTGTACTGAATGTATGCATGTATATAGTCACTGATTGATAGGAAGCAAACTAAGCAAATTGAGAAATGATTGCTCCAGGTGGCTTAGCAATGTAAAGTTATATCTTCATCTGTTGGCTAAAATAAAATATACAGTCAATCATTTGCACAACATAGAAGCTGACTGAGACAAAACAGTAAGTCTTTTATCTTAATTAAAAATATTACCTGATTCTCTATTAATTTTTCAACCTAGACAGTTTGCTGACTTGGAGCAGATCAGTTTAAAAATTTTTGCCACTGTGGCTGGTTTTAATGGAAAATACAAGAATTTTTAAATGAGCACACACCTTTTTTCATTGCAAGATGAATACTTTTGGTGTCTGTCTGACATCACAGCAGCCACTCTCATCCTTATTCTCAACACACACTTGAATGAGTCAGACAGATGGGTCAGGTGGGCCCTCCCCTCACCACTGAGTCACTAGTGACGTAGTCCACGTGAGCTGTTTTTAGATGAGAAATGTGATCAGACCTCAGCTCTTAGTTTTTCAACCTGTTTTTTCTCTCCTGCTGCATCTGCTCCATGGTGACAAGTTGCCACATAATAAAAATCTGAGCCAAAATGCTGATGGTACTAGTTTGTCTTTTTATACTATTTAAGTCATGTAAGCCACTGTATCTCACTGCCTTGAAAAAGCATTCATAACTCTTTAGCTTTCCAGACTTTGCCTAGTTACAACCATAAACTTAAAGTTTTTTTTTGAGGGGTTAAAAGATCAAAACAAAGCAGTAGGTACATAATTATGAATGGAAAAGAATACACTGTTTTTATATTTCTACAACACTAAAAACCAAAGGCCTTTATTTCTATTCAGTCCCTATTTAATGTAATAGCTGAAAATAAAATCCACGGCAATGAATTAGAGCTTGAATCAAGGTACAAAGGTGCACTTGACCAACACTACTCGTCCCATCATCTGGAAAAGGAAAGAATGCACAACTGCAAATCCACCAAGACGTAGCTGTCCAGCTAAATTAGATTCAATATATTTTCAACTCTTAAAACAGCATCTTGATTAGATTTATATCTGGACTTTTAATGTGCGATCCTAACACATTAATATACTTCACCCTCAATATTTTTATTGCAGCTCTGGCAGTAAATTTAGGATTACTTTCCTGTTAAAAAGTAAATACCTTTATCCAAGTGTTCTACAAAAACATTCAACAGGTTGAAAAACTATCAAGATGCCCTTTTGGAGGGATATTTTTGTATGTAGGATATGCATGTGCTTTCATCATTTCACCTGAACAAGTACACAGGAAGGCAAAGAGGCTATTAAAAGATTTTAAACGAGTCTGTTCATATCATGTCTTAGCTCTATTAAAGCTGTGATCGTAAAGGAAAAAATGTGGAATGATTAGGAAATTTGTCATACTGACTTTACTGCCTGAGTTGCTCTTTCAACCTCCACCCCGAGAGGCCCCCCTTTTGTTATTGTGTACATATCTCACTCTTCTCCCTCGCCTGCCTGCTTTCTGTAAGCCTCATTAAGCAGCTGAATATCCTCATGATACCCTGAGCTCTCGTGTGTCTGCCGTCGGCTGTTCTGCCGATGGGCTTCCACTGTGTCAGGAATAGTGATATTGATGGTCTCTGCTTCAGTGTTGCCACCGCTCGGGATGAGCAGGGAGTAGGACGCAGTCTCACCTAGGTCACACGAAACAAAGCGGTTTTCCCTGCGAGAGTAGCGCAGCGACGGCGAGCGGGCATGGGTCGAAGACTGGCTGATGTTAGAGACAATAGAGACGCTGTCCATGGCCTCCTCGTTATCACAGATTTCCAAAACCTCAAGGTGTATTTTGACGTTGGTATCCCCAACCCCTGCTCCTATTCCCATCCCCATGCCAATCTCCATTCCTACGCAGCTGACGTTGGCTTCTCCGGTGTGGCCTCCAGATCCTGGGTCATCTGCACTGGGCTCATGGCCAACAGACTTTGAGCGATACACTTCCACCTTTAAAAAACAGAGACTGCTTACACAAGCAATAATAAACAGAACATTATCACTGTTAATCAGTACCCCTCTCCTGGTATATATATACCAAGCCTAAGACATAGCTGAAGATTTAAAGAAAGTATTGCTGGCCAGAAACTTAGTAAAGTTTCAGAAAGAAAAGGAAATCCAGTATGCCCTTTTATTAAATATGCAACTAGTGCCTGGAGGCAAATCGCTATGTTGCTATATTTAAGACTGGAAATAGAGCAACTTGGTCTTATAAAACAGCAAGCTACAGTTTAAGTATCATACCAATCAGAAGAAATATATTCTTGTAAACAACACTTGACAGCAAATCATTAAAAAAAACTGTGGAGCAAAATTCATTACATTTAAGTGCTGCAAATGCCACTAATTTTGACAGTACTATATTAACCCAAATCCACCCAAAGATGACTTCTATAAGCAGATAATCCAATACATTTTCCAGATAAAATAAAGAGCCTTTGGGGGAAGAGGTTTATTATTGAAATGTATTAGAATATTACTCGTAGTTTTAGTTCTCTAACTGCAATACAACTTAAAAATGTTTTAAATAGTTTTTTTTTTTTCCATGGTTAGAAAAAATACCTTCCAAGCAGGACTATAATTGATGGATATTTGAGCAGTTTTTTGCAAAAAGTTTTTACAATAGGAGTACCACTATTACTTTCCCCAAAGACCAATTGTGCAAAAAAGTGGGTGTGTGAATGAGCAAGTGACCAATTAAAGGGTCGATTTATTATCACTCAACAAAATACTGTTTAACCGTAAAGTATGATGCAATTGTTTCCTCTTTAAGTCACGCATGAGGTTACCGGATGAGTCACATTACTACTGAGTAGCACTCAGGTTTGGTTGTACACATTACTAATCTGGGACTGTTCCTCAGGGAAAGGCAGGGTGTTCAGTAGAACCTTCTAAGCTGATTGGGCCAAGCAACCTAGTGCCCGCCTACCAAAGTTTGGTTTTAGCCAATCATGGTAACAAATAAGATAGCAGATGCCATGAGAAACCACAGCGCCTTATGCCTGTATGCTCTTGCATTTCCTCTTTCAAAGATAAAATCATGGATTCTGACAAACAGATGTACTCGCAGCATCCCAAAAAACTCAGAAAGTTCTGCTGAATGTCCCTTCCTCCCATGACAGATTTGATGGGAGCAGGCCCAGACGGATAATGAGTAGAACTAAAGTGCTACACATTATCAATCTGGCAAGCCAGATTGATAATGTGTTTCAAAAGCAGGGCAAATATCCCATCTGCCAATGTGTTGTTTTTTACAACTATATTTTAACACAGTGGTAAATTACATGTAGACCCCACAAAGTGCATTCAACTTTCTAAACAGGCTGTCACTGCTCTAAAAACATTTTTGTCAAAAGTAGTCCTTTACTTAAGTAAAAACACATATGTGAAAAAAGTGGTAAAAATAAAAGTACCTGTAAAACCTCTTTAGTCATGAAAAGGTAAAAAAAAAGTAAATTTTCTTCTGTAAATTGTACAAATAAGTAGTTTCCTTAATTATGCCTATATATTTTCACTTTAAAAAATATACTTAAAGTAACAGTTTTATACAAAAACAAGGATTATTTCCATTTTTCCCTCAGTGTTGGTAGAGAGTACATTAATTTTAGTAGGAATAATATTGACTGAACTGACCAGAAATCCCAACCTATACTTTTATATTTAAGTTTTTAAGGAATTGATCCATCCTTACTCTTGGTCCTGCTCTTCATGACAGGTTACAGGAAACTAAGTTCACCCTTCCAAAAAATAAAAAAAGACATTGAGTGGAGGTTAGTTACCTTTTTAGCGTTGTTGGGAGAGATTTTTAGGCCGTCGCTGCTGACCTCATAGGTGGAAAGCGATAGCGTCTTGCCAGTGGGTGCTTGGAGAGATACAGTGCCCTGAAAGGCACACAGGGGTATCGATAGACCACCTGATGAGCGCTGCACAGGAAAAACACAAAAATATAGATATTTAGTATCCTGCAGAGTGTTCAGTTCATACTTTTTACAGCAGACCTTTGGTCTGGTTATTCCAGGAAAAGCACTAAACCTTCGAATTGAGACTCAATTGAGAGGAAGTAATCTTGTTGAAGGGTTAATGGTGCACCGCTCAGATTTAAACAGAAAACATTATTTGTGTCGATTTTCAAAGTCTGGAGCACATATTTCCTTAAGACAAATGTACAGCTTCCTATAACTAACTAGGCATTCCTCAAAAATGTTAAAACAAAACCTGCAAACTTCTTTCAAAACTTTGTGTCTAAAGTAATAATTGATTAATGAGATTGTCACTTTAAACTATTCTTTACTTCATCCGATTCATCTAAAGGATAGGTAGTCCTAAGGGCCGATTTCAGACCTTGGGGGACCTGCGGAAGCAGGGACTGAGTCAGGCGTAGAAACATCCAGAGCCACAGTGCACAGGCGTGTGCAGGAAATGGGCTACAGGTAACACATTCCCCAGGTCAAGCCACTTTTGAACTGGAAACTGTGGCAGAGGCACTGACCTGGGCTACAGAGAAGCAGCACTGGACTGTTGCTCAGTGGTCCAAAGTACTTTTTTCGATGAAAGCAAATTTTGCATGTTGTTTGGAAATCAAGGTGCCAGAGCCTGAAGGAAGACTGGGGAAAAGGAAATGCCAAAATGCCAGAAGTCCAGTGTCAAGTACTCACAGTCGGTGATGGTCTGGGGTGTCATGTCAGCTGCTGGTGTTGGTCCACTGTGTTTTATCAAGGGCAGGGTCAATGCAGCTATCAGGAGATTTTGGAGCACTTCATGTTTCCATCTGCTGAAAAGCTTTATGGAGATGAAGATTTCATTTTTCAGCATGACCTGGCACCTGCTCACAGTGCCAAAACCACTGTAAATGGTTCACTGACCATGGTATCACTTTGCTCAATTGGCCTGCCAACTCTTCTGACCTGAACCCCATAGAGAATCTGTGGGATATTGTGAAGAGAAAGTTGAGACGCAAGATCCAACACTCTGGATGAGCTAAAGGCCGCTATTGAAGCATCCTGGGCCTCCATAACACCTCAGAGGCTGATTGCCTCCATGCCACGCCGCATTTAAGCAGTCATTTCTGCAAAAGGATTCCCGACCAAGTATTGAGAGCATGACTGTACATATTGATTTGAAGGTAGACTTTTTTTGTATTAAGAACACTTTTCTTTTATTGGTCGGATGAAATATGCTAATTTTGTGAGATAGGAAATTTGGGTTTCAAGAGCTGTATACCAAAATCATCCGTATTAAAACAATAAAACACCTGAAATATTTCAGTTAGTGTGCAATGGATCTAAAATATATGAATGTTTAAGTTGTATCATTACATTATGGAAAATAATTAAGTTTATCACAATATGCTAATATTTTGAGAAGGACCTGTATTTGCAAGAAAAAAGTATACCTTTTACAAGAGAGGATGAATTCTACCTTCTGAGCCATTTATCAACTTTCAGAGGACAAACTTGTATCTCTACTAAAAATTTTTTTTTTTAAACTTGGGTCTATAAGGTTGTAAAACTACTTGATTTTTAAAAATAAAACAATGGAAATTGTCCTTTAGCATAGAGAGACACTACTTGAAAGCTGGGTCTCTTTTAGGAGCAAGAAGATCTGCTGTGCGAACTGTATCAGAATAAGAGCCTAAAAAATCAGGTTGGGACCTTTAGTATCCACAGATGCCTTTGTGAAATGATCCCACTGTTTTAGTGGAAGCAATGCACGAATCAAGAAGTAGGTAAAAAAAAATAAGTCTCATATAGCTATGACCACTTGCTAAAATAGGCTCTGAATAAATTTTGAGGGAGAAGTTCCACTTTACTTTTTGAAATGCACTTAAGGTGCAGGAATAAATATGAAATGCAGTGAACTGACAAAAAAAGTAAAGTATAACTGTGACTTCAAATAACTTGTTTTCGACATCAAATCAAAGGACCTATTGCCATTGTTCCTTATAACATTGTTGACAGTAAATGCTAAAACTTTACATCAGCAACAAGTTTGCTTCTACACTTCATTCCTGCTATTTAGGGTGAGTGAAATTGGATTGTGCACATAGCTTCTAGTAAATAGAGATAAATGTGTTCTTACTCCATAAGGCAAACCATTGTTAACCATATTGTTACCATGGCGGCGCGCCAAGGCAGCGGCCAAGAAGAGCTCCTCTCGAAAATTTCATGAAATATGCCGCTTAAAATGATACAAACTAGACATCAAAACCGCACAGAGTGCTACGGACGGATATAAGCAAAATAACTGTGGAAAATAACGGCCAGAGGAAGAGATGCACAAGACAGAGAAAGCGAGGATGCAGAGGGGGGCTAACAGCGAAGCTAAAGAGAAATCCCCACAGACCTCCGCTTCCATCAATCCTGCTCTTCAACGTCCGCTCGTTGGAAGACAAAAATGGATCACGAACTCTTCCAAAGAAGCCTCAGGACACCTCACTCAACTACTAACTACAGGCCTGTCACACTGACTCCAAAAGTGATGTGGTGCTTCGAAAGGCTGGTTAAAGAACACATAGTCTCCAGTCTGCCGCCAACATTCGACCCATTCCAGTTCTCCTACCGACAGAATTGCACCACTGAGGAAGCCATCTCTGCTGCTCTCCACCTGAGCCTGGAAAACCTGGAAAAGAATACCTACATGTGGATGCTGTTCCTGGATTTCAGTTCAGCTTTCAACACCATCATCCCACACCATCTGATGGGCAAACTGGAACAGCTGGGCTTCAATACACCCCTCCGCAATCGGCTGCTAAACTTCCTCACCAACAGACCTCAGTCAGACCGGGTCGGACAGAACACCTCTGATGTCATCATCCTAAGCACAGGCTCCCCTCAGGGCTGCATCCTGAGCCCCCTGCTGTTCACCCTGATGACACATGACTGCGTTCCTAGATTCACCACCAATCACATAGTGAAGTTTGCAGACGACACCACAGTGGTGGGCCTCATGAGAGACGACAATGACCAGGACTACAGAGAGGAGGTGGTGCAGCTGGTGGACTGGTGCAAAGATAAAAGCCTGATCCTGAAGGTGGAGAAGACGAACCAGATCATCATGGACTTTAGGAAGAACTGACCTAACCACGCTCCACTGGTCATTAACAGCTCAGCTGTAGAGGAGGTCAAAAGAACCAAATTCCTTCGGGTGCACATCACAGACACCCTTAACTGGAATATAAACACCACCTCACTGATCAAAAGGGCACCAAAGCTCATGTACTTCTTTTCAAGGATGAGAGCCCACCTGCCCCCACCCATCCTCACCACCTTCTACAGAAGCACCATAGGGAGCGTTCTGACCAGCTGTCTCACGGTGTGGTGTGGAGGCTGCAGCGCCTCAGACTGGAAGAAGGTGAGAAGAGTGGTAAGAAGAGCAGAGAAGATCACCGGGGCTCCTCTTCCCTCCATTAAAGACATTTCATCCCAGCCATGTGTGTCCCGAGCCCTTAACATTATAAATGTTCCCTCACACCCCCAACATGGACTGTTCTCCCTGATGCCCTCTGGGATGAAACTTTGAAGCATCCAATGCAGGTCCAGAACAGTTTCTTCCCCACTGCCATTAGACTGCTGAATGTTATGTAAAATGGGTTACAAAAAAACAAAAATAAATAAAAAAAATAAACAGAACCTTAGAACTGTAACTATACAGTCATATGTTTACATTACTATTTTTCATCACAACGTTTTTTATCACTGCTTCTTACCTTATCAAGGCTGCACTTTTAAAAATGAAATAGTCTAGAGAGCTGTTCTTAACAAAATTTCTTTTTGTTTACACTTGTGTACACAAAATGACAAAATAAAATCTAAGTCCAAACACTTTAAACCCCTGGAAACAAAGTGATTCCGCAACAATGACACATAAATCTAGATACTATTCTTTCAAATAAAAAAAGCGTAGACATCGAGCGCTTAACTATTTAGCTGCCAGTTTTTTTTAATGAAATAGTTAACTATTGTGTTTATGATTGCAGGTTGTTTATGTTTTATAATATTCATCCCTATTAGCTTTCTTTATCAGAGATATATCCCTTGGTAATAAAATGAGTCTATTCTGAGACCATTTGTTTAGAACAATGCATGATGCTGATGGGAGGGAGAGGAGATGAAATAATGTAGTGCATCAGAAGAGATATGGCAACAGGTCTCATTAAACCTGTGAATTATTAAAAAGGACAGGAAGTGGTTATCCGATTGTGGCTATGATTTTCAACAGAAGCAGATATGTTGTCATTCTACTGTTTGCACAGTGCTCACATGATAGCCAGAAGCAACCCATGTGGAAAGGGAAAGACATATAACACAGACATGCAATTTTCAATGCAAGTTCAACTCGGTTTATTTATAAAGTTTCAATTCACAACACATTATTTTAAGGCACTTTAGAGACATTTCAACCAAAAATCTGTGCATATTGGTCCAAAGCTTTCTATCTATAAGCCAGCTGCTTGTACTGAGTTATTGATTCTGCAGAATTTGCTCTACATTGATCAGCATGCAGCGGCCATAGACCCTCTTTGCATTTTATTGTGATTGTGTAGAGCATGGTTTAGAAGGAGTCCTAGAAAATACTTTATAGGCAGTGAAGCATAAACCCTTTTTCTCCCTCATATTTTAAGAGAAACACAAAAATAAAATGTGAAAATGTCACCATCACAATATCTGTCTGTTTAACATTCAAACAGCAGTGACTTTTTGGGGCTGAACATTGTTTTGAGCAAACATAAAAGTGCTGTGAACTTACATTTTGAATGCCAATGTAAGATGTAAAAACTTTTATCCTTATAGCAGTATTTGCCAGCATTATTGTAATGGCCAAAACAAAAATCTTGCCATTGGAATAACTGGACAATCTCAGCAGGACTAAGAAATATGGTGTCAAAATTCTGAAACTATTTCCCCTTTTATCAATGTGACGATAA